CCCCCCCCCACCCACCCCCGCCAGCATATTTAGTAGCAGGCTATACAGCAGCTCGGCTGAGTTCTGGCTTGCATTGTGTCCAGGACCTACACCCACTATGGCTCTGCATTTAAAGCATATTAGGAACCGGGTAGGCAGGCAGCCTGGCTCAGTCCTGGCTTGCACCAGGTCCAGTAGCTCAGACACCTGCCCTGGACAGTGGCTGCTGCCACCCCACGCTACTGCCCTGCATTAGGCAGTCAGTCCATGTGCAAAGCTGGTTTTTAAACCTGCTCCCCTCATGGACCAGATCCTGCCTGGCATGACACACTACTGCCTCTGATAGAGATGCAGAAGCACAGGTTGGCAGGTGGCTCTCTGGGAGTGAGGCTGGAGTGCACTGGCTACTAGCCCCACCTCTGGGGACTATAGAATAGTTGACTAACCTCTAAGAATTCATGAGGTTAATCAACTATTCAATTAATCAATATTTAATATTCCTAGGCCAAGTTATTCCAACTTTCCTATTGCATTTCGTGCACATTTTTCTGAAGCAGTGGGTGCTGACTAGACTTAGACTACTTGTCTGGTTTTCTATTGTCATTCCTGTGTTTGTGTTTATAACTTGCCACTGATAGAGGTATCAAAATCAACTAAATGGGCATGCACTCAGACTGTGAAAAACTGTACAGCACAAGGCATGAGCTAGAGACAGTGATAGAGTACTGAGCGCCTGCAAGCTGACTGCTTGGGAAGCCACTAGGGGTATGTCTACACTACCCCCCTAGTTCAAACTAGGGGGAGTAATGTAGTCATACGGAGTTGCAAATGAAGGCCGGGATTTGAATTTCCCGGGCTTCATTTGCATGAAGCCAGCCGTCGCCATTTTTAAATGCCGGCTAGTTCGGACTGTGTGTCGCCCGGCTACACGCGGCACGAACTAGCTAATTCGGATTAGGCTTCCTAATCCGAACTAGCTGTACACCTCGTTCCTCGTACTCCTAGTTCGAACTCGGGGGGTAGTGTAGACATACCCTAGGAGAGATTCAAACTAAGGATGTTACGTATCAGGTAACTGACTAATTGAATAGTTGATGCATTTTGCCATCAACTAGTTGATAAGGTGCCTCCACCTTTGAAATGTAGCAACAGCCCTACGGGCTCCCCACAGCATTTCAAAGTGGCAGAGGCCGCATGGAACCCAGGGTCAGCTGGGGAGTCCCCAGCTGATGCCGGGCTCCACGCAGCGCTGCTGCTTTGAAACACCATGTGCAGCCTGAGGACACCCCAGCTGGCCCCTGATTGCATGCAGCATTTCAAAGTGTCAGCGCCACAGGGAGCCAGAGATCTGGCCCCAGGCTTCAAATGGCACTATCGCTTTGAAGTACCCTCTCTTCTTCCCCCGCACTTGCTGCCTCTATCTGATAGAGGCAGCAAGGGGGGAGAGGGAAGCGACTAATTGACTATCTTGCCAGATATCCGATAAGCATTTGCTTATTGGATAGTCGACTAGTCCTTCATATCCCTAATTCAAACGCCACTCAGCTGATTAGAAGAGCGCCCAGAGCGCGTCAGCATACGTTTCCACTGGGGGGGCGGGGGGGTGCACATCTGCACATGCTTTGGTGCAGATAAAATTTATTCAGTATACAGATGGAAAAAAATTAGAGGGAACACTGGCTAAGACACTTTCAATTTTCCAGAGGGGTGTCTATAATCCCTAGGTTGTCATGCAACACTAATACTCCGCAAGTTGCACACTCGTCCAGTACATTTCCAGGTAGAATTTAAAGTAGTGTCTTAATCCTAATAATACTGTATGATTTACAACATCATTGTCTGCAGGACTACACCTCTCCCAGCACTAGAGGTCAGGTTGACAGAGGTGCTTGAGCAGGAATTTCATTGACATTGACCTACAGAAGCTGTTCAAGAGGGAAATCACTATAAAGCATCCTCAGCTCTTGAGTATGGTCCCTTTCTTGGCCTTCCAGTACCTCTATTAGTTAATTAACTAGGTAGGTTCTGAAACCTACCTTTTCTTACAAGCATTTGCAGAAATTGAGTTTTCATAAGTGGAGAAGTTGATATTTTATTGGCTAGAGTGTGTCTTTGGTTTTAGTGAGAGAATCTATGAAGTAAAAGAATCAGTACTTAGAAATTTGATTAATAAAACTATATTGGGGAGAGGGGAGAAAAGGTTTGTGTTAATTTTGGGAAATGACTAGAGTTTTTGGGATGGATGCCTGTAAAACTAGGATATAAATGGTTGTGAATAGATTATTATATTTATAGAAAGTATTTGCTAAACCTAAGGTTACCTGTTTATTATGGATGCATTCATTCACTTGATTTTGTCCTTCTTCAGCTAATGAAGTTACCCTTAAAGTTTTAGAATTTGTGTGACAAGTAAATTGTTTCAGTTTCTTTATAGTGTCATCTTTTTCAGCCAACTGTCTCCTTAGTTCTTCTATTGCAGTTCCATAACCCTGTTAAGCACATTACAAATCAATGAAATTAAGAATTGGCAAAATACAAATTTGGCCGGCATATTTACAAAAAAACCCAAACCAGAAATAAACAAATGAGCTAAACTTAAAATATTTTTGTAAAATGTCAACTTTAATTCTCTGTATTAATTTGGTAATCATGAAAAGCGTCTGTCACGCAAGAACCTCTTAATGCCAGCTGGCAAAAGGGCACAGAGCAGATACATACAGGTTATAGGGGTCTCCCGGGATTGGCATATACAGTAATTCCTCATTTAAACACTTAAATGTGTTTCTGAAAATGTTTGTGCTAAGTGAAAACGTGCTATGCAGGGTCAATTTTCCCATTAAAAATAATGGAAAATGTGGAGGTTGCGTTTCAGGTGGTGGTGGCAAAGTCAAATTTTTGTTGGTGCTGGGTTGTCAACGTCAACATTAGATATCTAGCAACTCAAGTTGCTGCAGTTTGTTAAAACACAAAGATAAATATGTGAGTGAGTGGAGGAGCGCTGTGACTATGTGTATTCATCCGCTCATGCATATTACCACTGTTTTCACCAACTTATACCACCGTGCGAAGTAGACTGCTACTTGATTATTTCTGTGTCATTTTGGGGACAGTCATGTTATTTGAAAAACATTCCCTAAAAAAAATTGTGCTATTACAAAAACGTGTTAAACGGGTACATGTTAAACGAGTAATTACTGCAAATTCTAGGTCCCAAAGAGAGTCACATAAGGTCTCTATATGGCTTACAATCAAGGTGTTAATCCCCACCAAAGATGAAAAAATGGCTGACAAACCATAGATGTTTATCCATCTGTTGAAACGTAAATGGGAGTATAGAAGTAAAATACAAAGACAATTTAAAATGTTATTTGGCATTTAATTGGAATTAACTCATTTGTCCCATCTCCCCCCCTTCTTGTGCCACTATGCCTTCTGGTCTTGGCCTGAACCAGAAACTGAAGTGAAAAGCCAACATAGGCTATTTTTCATGGAATTTTCAGGATTGGTAGGTCAAGAAAACACTAGAAATCTTATAAGGAAGCTTATTTGACATTTCCAGTCCAGTTCCTCGATCACAGAATTCAAATATACATCAAATATTTTCCTGAGCCACTGAACCTTTTGGAAGTTAACCCCCCCACTACTGCCAATTGATTTCTAAAGCAAGCTATGGGCTTGTTTACTTGTTAAATTTGCTCTTAAACACTGAACAGATTAAAGTATTTGACACTAAGACAGCTCTGAAAATCCAAGGCTGAAATAATATTATATTATACAAAACTAATAGATAACAAATAAAAATGAACAGGCAGATTAAGCTGACCTTTCCTGAACCCGCTAATGTGCTACGTTTTAGTTCCTCTATTTTTTTATCTTTTTGCATGTTGCTAGAAACCAGAGTACTGAGCTGCACTTCCAAAGCTGCTACTAGCTGATCTCTTTCTTCTCGCCACTTTTGCAGGTCTTGATCCTTTACTGCTAGTTGTGCAGTAAGCGTCTCCTAAACAGCAAATGGAAAATAATTAGAAGAGCCCTGAAAAACCTTGTATTTCAACCCTTCTCACGACATAGAAGCAGAGATTATTATATTTATATTAAAAAAGAAAGACTCTCATCATCAAGGAAATTAAGCCTATGTGAGTATTCTATTTCACAAAAGGTCCCAAATAGTTCAATTTCATTTGCAGTAATTGACAATGTTAAAAAACAAAAAGGGTCTGAATTCATAAATCTTGTTCCCCCATTCGCTTTTCAAGAGCAGAATAACAGTAATGAAAAGCCACTCCAACTATTGATGTTGCTAACCTGTCTGCTTCTCGTGAATATTTTACAGACTGGACAACAAAGTTGAAGAGTAAATTAAGGATTCATCTACATTTGAACTGAGAGGTGTGATTCCCAACTGTTTAAGCTAGCATCTAAAGATAGTGGGTGTGTCCAAAGCAATCTGGGCTGCTGATGGAGTACAATTGCACCAGACACCCTAAGTACATGCCCACATGGCTAGCTTGAGAGGCCAGAGTAGTATCAGCCTTATTGCTAAATCAGGGGTCAGCAATCTATGGCTCATGAGCCAAATATGACTCACTAGGGACCCAGATATGGGTCTTTTGAAGCTCAAGCCCAACCCATGCCCTTTGCTCTCCCTGCAGCAGGAAGCCCACACTGGCACTACAGCAGGCCTAGGCAAAACAATCTGGACCCTGTCATAGCAGGGAGCCCCCAGACAGACACCCCTGCTTGCCCCTTCCCCCCTCCACACTGCTCAGAAAAGCAGCTGCGAGGTCATTTGATTTTCACAAACTGTAAGCCAGGAGGGGAGGGAGAGGAGTGGTGCTTTACAGCTGCTTCTGCCTCCAGCACAATCCCATTGGCAGATTTCTGGCCAATGGAAGCTGCCTGTTTCAAGAACAGACAGCATGCAAAGCACCAATCCCCCCCTCCCCTCAGGCTCTAAGGCTGTGTCTAGACTAAATCCCTCTTTTGAGAGAGGGATGAAAATTAGACACTTCAGAATTGCAAATGAATCGGGGATTTAAATATCCTGCGCTTCTTTTGCATAATCGTGTCATGGCGCTCTTTCGAAAAAGCGCCATTTTGCAAGTAAAACTGCGGTCCAGACGTGGTTCTTTCGAAAACGGCAGGCTTTTTCGAAAGATCCTGTAAACCTCATTTTTTGAAGAGTACAGGATCTTTTGAAAAAGCCTGCCTTTTTCGGAAGAATCGCGTCTAGACCGTGGTTTTACTTTCGAAATGGCACTTTTATGCAAATGAAGCGCAGGATATTTAAATCCCCACTTCATTTGCAATTTCGAAGTGTCTAATTTTCATCCCTCTGTCAAAAGAAGGATGTAGTCTAGACACAGCCTTAGTCACCAACCCACATGGCCTTGTAGCCTGTGCAGGGGGCAGGCCATGCTCCTGAGAAACATGCTGGGCTGGAATCTCACTGCTAAGTCTCCCAGCCAGAGCCCTCTACCCCAAAAACCAAACCCTCTACTCCTACTCCATACCACCTCCCAGACCCTGCACTCCAATACGATGGCACAGCTCACAATCCTAAACTCCTGCACCTTAATCTCATGCCTCAAGTCACCTCTGCCTCCTTCACCCAAACTCAGTGGCCCCGACCCAAAAAAGGTTCCTCACTCCTGACATAAAGACAATGTTGAAACCGAAACAAAAAACAGGACTATGTAGCACTTTAAAGAGTGCTACATAGTCCTGTTTTTTGTTTCGGTTTCAACATTGTCTTTATGTCAGGAGTGAGGAACCTTTTTTGGGTCGGGGCCACTGAGTTTGGGTGAAGGAGGCAGAGGTGACTTGAGGCATGAGATTAAGGTGCAGGAGTTTAGGATTGTGAGCTGTATCATAACACTCATACTCATACGCGCGCACACATCCCCACCCAAACTCTGAGCCCATCCTACACCTAAATCCCCCGCCCTGAGCCCCTCATGCCCCCACATCGCCAGACTCTTGCCATAACACTCCTGCACCACACAAACACCACAACCTTGTGTCCTGAGCCCATCATACACCCAAATCCCCTGCTCTTAGCCCCTCATACACCACAACCCAGATTCCTACATCCCCAACTCCCTGCCATAAGACTGACAGAAGACAGACTGAATGCTTGCATGAAGCTGGATTTGACCAGTTATGATGTAAACTTCAAAGAAATACGTGAAAAGATGCAGTAGCAGAAGTCCCATTACATAAAATCTGTGAGTACACCATTTCATTTATGGTATTATTAATCATTATGTCAATTAATAAAATTAAGCTGTATATTTTCAGTCATGCAAATGGGCATTCTTATACAATTCTTTGGTGACCACTAGTTCTGAAATTTGATGTAGTGTGACTCTCTGGTTTAAAAAGGTTGCTGACCCCTGCACTAGATCTCACTGATACAATGGGTTTCCCAGCACAGCTGTGAAAGAGGTATGGATGGAGAAAACAGTGACTTTCCCACCTCCCACCCGATTATCACAAACTACATTTTAACCTGAATTATAGATTTTACTACGATTTAGAGCTAAGACTTCTCCTCCAACTTTCCTCAGTCTTCCCTCTTGCCTCCACTATGTCTTTCTGATTTCAATCAGGATCTAATTGGTTTCCTAAAAAGGAGTTCTCCTCAGTCCTACTGAGGAAACAGCATGTTTTCTTAGTAAGGACTCTTTTGAGGACTTAATTCAGGCTACGTCTACACTACAAGTTCTCGGCAAAAAAAGCTAATGAGGAACTCATTTGCATTAGTCATGACCTCATTTGCATATTTTCTGCTGATCCGTTTTTGCACTAGGGGTTTTTGTGCAAAAACAAGCAGCGTGGACATTTTCTACTTGCGCAAAAATCTTTTTTGCAAAAAAAATCCTTTTTTGGAGCATAAGAATCTTATGGGGGGGAAAAAAAAGAAAAGAAAACATCCACACTGCTTGTTTTTGCACATAAACCCTTAGCGCAAAAATGGATCAGCAGAAAATATGCAAATGAGATTGCAACTCATGCTAATGACTTCCTCATTAGCATTTTTTTGCAGCAAAAGCTTGTAGTGTAGATGTAGCCTCAATGTCTAGGGCTTGGAATCTTTGTATTCCTTGTTCTCAGGTATGTGAGGAATCAATATAGCAGGAATTAACCAAGTCGTTTTCTGTTGCATATAATCTGTTTTTTTAGTAGTTATGGTAAGTGCATGATAAAAAAGACACAACCTGAGCACCTCCCATCCTGACTTTCCTATGAAACTACAAGAGAAAATTAAAGAACTGGGTCCTCTGAAGTTCCAAATATCGTCAACTCCAATTACTTACAATAAGAGTTAGAGTGCTCAGGAAATACTCGATCCAGACCTTTAATCTTCTTTAAAAACCTATTTCAAGCACTGTGAAAATTAGAGCTCATAGTCTATTACTTACCACTTCTATTTGTTGCTTTATGTGACGTCCTCTATCTTCGGCAAATTTTCTCATCTCTTTGTTTCGGTGATTCTCGGCTTCTTTTATTTGAGCTATGAGCCCCATTTTTTCTTCCAACCATTTCTTTCTATCTGTTTTACACTTTTCTTCCATTTCCTGTTTAAAGTAATAACTTTTTTTTTAAAAAAGTCAGATATAAATCTTTTTTTAGCTAGTGAGAAGGCTCTCCAAGGTTAGGTGGATGTTAAATTGCTGATTTTTTATGCTGTAGGGAGGGCTCACCCAATTACATATTTTACGACAAGACAGACAAACCTAATAACAAAACAAAGAAATATCAACCCATCAACTGGATACCATCATATTCCTGATATAAATGTTTCTCCTATAAAACCATTCCAAGATGGTTTTTCGATCTTCTGTGCTATTTTTTATAAATGAGAGAGTTTATATTTTGATCTATAGCAGTGCACATAACTTTGGTTAATCCTAGGTACCAAATCCATTTGTGCCAAAAATTATGCCAGCAGGAACACTTGTTCCTCTCCTCTCCTGACCCTATCCCTTGAATTTCCTGCTCTGCCACAGAGTGAATTGCCTGTGCATACTACTGCTCCCTATGGGCAGAAGGGAAAGAACATTACTTTGTGCAAGTAAAAAGGAAGCAACTGACAAGACTGACCCAGCAACACAGGAACCTACAGAAACCCAGGTCCACCAATCAATCAGTAAGTCACAGAATGTTGTTTCTCTTTTCTGACAGATATAATTTTCTTTTTAAAAAACCCTCCTGTTAACAACATATATTAAATAAAGATAGGTCATATTTGTTTCTATTATCTCCACCAACACCTTAGATATTGGCATAGAGAGTATGCTTATTAAGTTTGCAAATGATATCAACTTGGAAGGGGATGCAAGTGCTTTGATGGATAGGTTCATAATTCAAAATGATTTGGACAAACTGGGGAAATGGTCTGAAGTAAATAGAATTAAGTTTAATAAGACAAATGCAAAGTACTTCACTTAGGAAGGAACAATCAATTTCACACATAGAATGGAAGTGACTATCTAGAAAACAGTACTTCAGAAAAAGATCTAGGGGTCAGTGAATCACAAGTTAAATATGAGTCAACAGATTGAGAAGCATGAACAGGAGTGTTGTGAGCAAGACACAAGAGCCACGTCTACACTGGCCAGTCTTGCACAAGAACATCTGCAAATAAGGTGTGGCGATGAATATTGCCACGCCACATTTGCATACTTAATGAGCTGCCATTTTGCGCAAGGGTCTCTGCTATTTCTGGCACAAAAACCCCTTGCACAAAAATGGTGGCTTATTAAGTATGCAAATGAGACACGGCAATATTCATTGCCACACCTTATTTGCATATGTTCTTGCACAAGAGAGCGCAATGTAGACGTAGCTGAGAAGTAATTCTTTTATTCTACTCTGTACTGATTATGCCTCAATTGAAGTTGTGTGTCCAGTTCTGGGCATCACATTTCAGAAAAGTTGGAGAAATCAGACAGGGTCCCGAGAAGAGCAACAAAAATGATTAAAGGTCTAGGAAATGTGATCTATGAGGAGAGACCGAAAGAACTGAGTTAGTTTAGTTTGGAAAAAGAGATGACAAAGGGGACATGATAGCAGTTTTCATGTACCTAAAAGGGTGTCACAAGGAGAAAGAAAAATTGTTGTTCTTGACCTCTGATGATAGGACAAGAAGCAATGGGCTTAAACTGCAGCAAGGGAGGTTTAGGTTGGACATCAGGAAAAACTTCCTTTCTGTCAGAGTGAATAAATACTGGAATAAATTGTCTAGGGAGACTGTGGAATATATATCATTGGAGCGATTTAAGAGCAAGTTAGATAGACATCTATCAGGGAGGATCTAGTTTGGAGTGGGTATTAATTATAGAAGGTTAATGCACGCAAAATGTCTAAAACCAGAGTTTTTGTTCCCAAATGTCTGCATGTGGCTTTGGGTAGAACACTGGGAGAAAAAAGTATCCCGATTCATATGAAACTGAAAGGTGACCTTCAGGAAGGCCAAGTGTCCCCAAAGCTGAACCAAGTCTTTACAGAACACTGCATCAAGAGGCTCACACATTATAGCCTTAAGCTCTCCTTGCAGAGGATATTGCCACAAACAATATGATCTTTCATGAGCGCTACAGAAAAGAGGTAGGGATATAAAATCCTGCTCAACCAGTTAACTGGTTAAATATTACATTTAGCCAGCTAACCAATTAAGCCCCTGGCCCTGGCCCACTCCCACAAAGAGCATGTGATAGGTGTTTCAGACGGGGGTCCCATTAGTTTGGAAAGAACCAGATTAAAGTCCCAGACTGGGATCAAGTACTGTGCTTGTGGGTAAAGCCCTTTAAGAATACATCCAACTATTGGATTGGTGTAGACTAATTGGCCGGCTTGGCATGCCTGGGTGAAAGGTGAAAAAGTCAGCAAAATTGACTTTTACTGATTATGCTTTAGTTGCAGGTGGTGGTCTAAAATAAAGAGTACTGTGTAGGAGATGCATGTTTCTGCGATGACCAAATTGTGAATCTCTTCCTTTTGGCTAGGTAGATGGTCCTAGTGGACAGTTTCCTACTGCCAAACAAGACTTCGCTAATTCAATCAGAGCAAGCCAGATCCATTGGGTTTAGCCATGGAGCTTTCGAGCCATGAGGTGGAGAATTGAAATTAGCATGCTGAAGAACCATCGTTACTGCACAAGGTGAGTAACTTCTTCCCATTTCAGGGCTTCTTGAGCAAAGGAGCCAGCAGTGGAATCTTAAAAAAAAAAAAAATTAAAGCAGAGAGGACTCTTTCAGCAGTCCTTTCACAACAGCAAGTGGTCCATCCACCCAAACACTCAGAACATCATTTTCTGACTATTGGAAATTCTGCAGATAGATTTATTCATGACAAGATGCAACAGGAATTGTCTGCAGTTCTGCTCTTTCTTGAATAACAGCCCAGACTTGATTGTGGATGCATTCCTTCTTCTTCCCTAGAAGGACCTCCTTTATATATTTCCACCCATCAAACTCTCCCGTAAGGTGTTACTCAAGGTTCGGAGAGACAGTGTTGGTGATATTGATAGCACCAGCCTGGCCTCATCAGCTTCTGGAACTGTCGCTGGAAACTCCAATCACCCTACTATTGCTACCGGGAACTGTTCAAGGAGAGGGACAAACTTGGCGTAACTGTCAAAAGAAGAGGTTACTTACCTCGTAACTGTAGTTCTTCGAGATGTGTTGCTCATGTCCATTCTGATTAGGTGTACGCGTGCCACGTGCACAGATTCTGGAGCTTTTTTCCCTTAGCAGTATCCATAGGGCCAGCAGGGAGCCCCCTGGAATGGCGCTGGTATACCGGTGCATATATATCCCTGCTGGCCCCTTCACCCCCTCAGTTCCTTCTTGCCGGCTCCTTCCGACACGGGGAGGTGGGTGGGATGCAGAATGGACATGAGCAACACATCTCGAATAACTAGTTACGAGGTAAGTAACCTCTTCTTCTTCGAGTGCTTGCTCATGTCCATTCTGATTAGGTGAGTCCCTAGCCGTGTCCCCACTCCGGAGGCGGGGTGAGAAGGTGACTAACTACTCTCTTATTATTCTGCAGAGCCCAGAACTGCCCTCCCGATAGCAGCATCCTCCCTGGCCAGTTGCGTGATAGCATAATGCTCTGCAAAAGTGTGCACTGATGTCCAGGTTGCTGCTCTGCAGATTTCCAAGATTGGCACGCAGGCCAGGAACGCCGCCGCCGTTGCCTGGGCTCTAGTGGAATGTGCTGTTATGCGCGGCCGTGGTCTACCCGCGCCCTCGTAGCACAGTCGAATGCAGGAAATAATCCATGAGGATATACGCTGAGCCGAGACTGGCTGCCTACACATCCTTTCTGCCACTGAAATAAACAATTGAGTTGACTTACGGAACTCTCGTGACCTGTCTATATAAAGGGCGACGGCCTTCCTAACGTCCAGGCAGTGCAGAGCCTGGGCGACGCGTGTGGCTTGGGGGTAAAACTCTGGCAGGTAAATGTCCTGGGACATATGGAAGTGCGAGACAAACTTGGGAAGAAACCCCGGGGGGGGACGCAACCTCACCTTATCTTTAAAAAACACCGTGTAGGGTGGTTCTGAGGTGAGAGCCCTAAGCTCTGACACTCTCCTGGCCGAGGTAATGGCCACGAGGAAAGCTACCTTATAGGACAGGTGCATCAAAGAGCATGAGGCCAGAGGCTCGAATGGGGGCTTCATAAGGGCAATCAGGACCAGGTTAAGGTCCCAAGCCGGGACCGGAGGTCTCTCATATGGCATCATTCTGTCGATTCCCTTCAGAAATCTTTTAACCAAGGGATTGGCAAAGATAAACCTTTGGCCTCCCCCCCGGCGTGGAAAGCTGCTATGGCCGCCAGGTATACCCTTAGGGAGGCTGTGGCCAGGCCCTGTTTCTGCAGGTGGAGAAGGAATTCCAAGACAGTCGGAACCGCCCCTTCACACTGCTAGGTGCAGAGATGGTAGGCTCGGGTGGAGTGCTACCCCAGCCTCGCAGCTCTGAGTGATTAGGTCTGGCACTAGGGGTAGCCTGAGCGGGCCCTCCGCAGTCAGATCCAGCAGGGTGGTGAACCAGTACTGCCGAGGCCATACTGGCGCTATCAGGATGATCCGGGCCCTGAACCTTTGTACTCTGAGGAGTGTATCGTGGATCAGAGGGAACAGGGGGGGAAGGCATAGAGTAGGCCCCTGGGCCAGCTGACCTGCAGTGCATCGCCCAGACCGTGCCCCATGTACGAGCAAAACTCCCTGCACTTCGCATTGCTCAGAGTTGCAAACAAGTCCAGGCGGGGAAACCCCCACCTTTGGAAGACCCCGTGAAGTACATCCCACCTTATCACCCACTCGTGTGCCTGGATCGAAC